CAGTGGTATCATTCTCGAACGAAACTTCGTGATCTGAAACCAAGTGACTGGTCTCAGCAAGACATGGGTAAAATATAGCTAATCTATATTAAATTTAATTGTTTGTATGTAGCAGCTGTATGTATCTGTAATCAATCTGATCTGTTTTTGAGAGTCATCTACTTTCTGCAGTATTTAGATTTATCTTTACTTAAGTAATCTTCTTTACTGAAGCACTAGTTTCACTACTGCTTGCATATCCATATGAATGCAACAACTTTTTTTTTTTATAGGTTCACATTCAGCTGAAACAGATAGCCAGACAGAATGGACTGATGTTCAGAAAAAGATTATACCCTGGAAAAACAGTACTCCTACTTTAGACTTGGAAATGGCATTTCAGGATCGTGCTGCTAAACTTGGTAAATCAAACAGCAGATTGATCGTGGTGGCTTCACTTATTGATAAACCTACCAATTTAGGAGGTAAGGTTGATTTCACGTTTTTAAACTTTTATTTTAGACCTTAGAGCCCACTTAGATAATAGAAATTAATTTCATTTTATGTTGTTAATTAGAAAATTTTTTAAGTACTGCTCAGAAAAATTATCCTGAAAAAAGAAATACTACCTTCTTCAGACTAGGCGTCTTCTATAGTTACATTTTAAGGCAAAAAAAGAAGTATCTACACATAACATGCATTAATTAAGTGGAACTTTGCTGTAAATCATGCTCAGTTTCTTACTGAATTTATATTCTTTGTTACAGTTGATTTTTTCAGCTATGGTTAAAGGAGATAAGTTTTTCTTTAACAAGTAAAACAAGTCTTGTAGACCTACTAGGTTCTCATGACTGTTGGTCTTTCCTGATTAAAAACTCCTTCATGATGTCATGTCAGTTGTGATATAATAAATCCTGCAAATACTTTATTGCCGTTGTGTTCCATGTTAGTTTAAATAACTGCACTGAGGCTGTTCATGAAAAGTAAGCCCACAAGCTGGTGCTGTCTGCATTGTAACGCTGTCATGTGTCATTCTCTCAAGCCTTTCATTTAGCAAATGCTGGATTTAAAGCTTAAGCTTGTGTGTATATATGTCTAACCATCCATCCTTGCTAAGGCTTAGACACTAGCCCCTTATTTTGTATAATTAGTATTGTAAAAGCATGTTGTCAGACATAGTACTTTTCTAATTTTTATCTTTCTGCTAAGTTACAAAACATTTTTTTTTTCTGTTTTTTTATATGGAACAAGGCGTGGCTTGGAATAGACCTGAAACTGATAAAAATAGATGACTAAAGTAACATTGCACTTTTGCATTCTTTGGCATTTTCGCTTACTAAAGCATTCTGGCTTGGTGTTTATTTTCTACACAAAAATTACTTTATGTCTTGGTTTTGTAGGTTTATGTCGTACAAGTGAAATATTTGGAGCATCTGCATTAGTTGTCGGCAGTCTTCATTATATACAAGATAAGCAGTTCCAGCATCTTAGTGTTTCTGCAGAGCAGTGGCTCCCCCTTGTTGAGGTGAATGGAAACATTTTAATCGTTAAAAAGTGTACTGAGCACCTTCAGTTGTCAGATGCATAGTGCAGAGTCTTACATTTTATCTTGAAAAAATGAACTTTTTATTTAACAGAAGCACCCATTGTTATCTCTGACGCTTAATCTTGCATGTTTTGGTATAAGCTGTGGGTCAACCTCATAAAAAAAAGGAATTTTAAAAATACTTTCAGTTTCTTATTGCTGTGGAAAACTGATTATGTGAGCTGTCATTGTTACATCTTATTCTGTTTTATAGTGGTGTGTTGGAATTTAATGTTTATTTATAAAAGTTGAACAACGGTTTATTTATTTTGCTTTCTCCATTGCTTCTGGTAGCTTCATTGTGATTTTCTGAGTTTGCCTGAAGTTAACTTGTGCCAACTTTTAAAACTATTATCTAGTTATCAGTTTTTCCAGGTCAGCTCTAGGTCATCTGAAACACTCAGTGGAAATTTTTGATTTTTTTTTTCCCCAGGGTGTTTATTTTCAGAACAAGATATCTGTAGTGTGTTTTGCCTGAAACAGAGTGCTGATGGATACGTTTTCGTGCCTGATCTCTATACAGAAGTGTACTCATGGTAGAGCTGCTGTTGCATGAAGAAATTGGCATTTTAATACAAATAAGCAGTTTAGAGAGTAGGATTTAGATAACTAAGAAATTCTTCACTTTGAGCTATCCCAAGTTGCAGTTCAGACATATAAGGCAACTCAGTTTCAGTATTGGCTGTTCTGTTGTATTGGGAAGGAATTTCAGGTTAAATAACAGCTGTCTCTGTGCCAGAGTGATTCTTTTACATTCAGATACAAGGCTTGTAGCTGTCAGAAGCCTAGAAAAGCCTTTCTTCATTGTATTGGTGGGGTACATTTTTGTGGCATTACTAACCTTTTGTGTTATTGCTGAAGAGCTTATAAAATGTTGAGCTGTGTATACGGACAGAGTCTTCAGGGATAAAAGTCAATGATCTTAAAAACTGTCCAGGTAAATTGTTTTTTACAGTAACTTCAGAAATTTACAAAAGGTGTTATTTAAATATTTTTGTATTTCTCTCTACTTTTAATGGGTAGGTGAAACCATGTCAGCTTGTTGATTATTTACAGCAGAAGAAAACAGAAGGCTACACTATTATTGGTGTGGAGCAGACAGCTAAAAGTTTTGATCTTACAGAATATTGCTTCCCAGAGAAGTCACTATTATTGCTGGGGTAAGAACACATGCTTTTTTGTAAATCTACCTCTTGCAGTCCACCCCTTCTTCTAGTCAGAGTTTGGTCATATGAAAACCAAGTGACACTGGTAAAGGTGATTTTAGAATGGGAAGTGATTATGGAAAGAGTACAGCTTGGCTTTATGTGCTAAGGAGTAGGAGGTATTGATAGCTACTCCTGAATGATCCTTCTCCTCATACTTAATAAACTGTCCACACACTGTAACTCCTTTTTATTATGGGTCAAGGTAGCAACAGCATGGATTGTATTTTTCCAGGTGTGACAGAGATATTGTCTGTTTAGTTTAGTTATATGGGGCCCTGTATGTGTAGGCTGCGGTGAGCACAGCAAGGAGTTAAGCCTGTTTGCTCTGCTTAACTTGGTGAGGAGGGCTGGAGCAGAGGGCGAGTGTGCATAGCTGGGAGATGCTTTAAAAGTTAAGGATTGAGCACAAGATGAAGTTTTTGCAGTACAAGCAGAGGATGGGACAACAAGCAAACGGTGTCTATAAGCAGACAAACCTCAGATGTGATACAAAGGGGGAGGCTACTTAAAGAAATCCATGGTAAAGCACTTACAAGTCAGAAAGCTACTGGCATTGCAGGGCTTCAGAGTGAGACCAGGAGGAAGGGCCTGCCTATTCCTTTTAGGACAGTGTGAGCAGAAATACCTTTTTTCCAACTTTTTTATGTGTAGCTTGTCTTCAAAATGTAGTTCTCATAGTCACTTTGTTCTCTTTTAATTAACAACGTAGTTTTAATTACTGGTAACCTCTGGTATCTTCTGATGTGCTCAGTTCTGAAAAGGTAAAACTTCCAGTTCAAGGCTTCAAATGAGTTTTTGACATTCCTTTATGCCAAATGGAAAGTGAGCAGGTGAGCTTGCCTGCTGTGCCAGCAGCTTCATGCCCTGGTCATTTCATCTATAGCTGATCATTTTGCTATATATGGAGTTTAAAAATAAAAGCAGAGAGTCTTTATGTTGGGTGTTCAGCTATTGCTGGACCAGTGAACTGAAAATTGAGTGCACCACCAGTTTTCCTACATCAAAACTTAGTCAGGCCTCTCCATGTTTTCTTTGTACCTGTAATGCTTTTAAAAAATCATTTGTTGTCATCAGTTACACTTGTAGGTAGATGCACCATATTTGTCAAAGGGTATTTGGATGCTGCTGTGACATTTGTATTTTCTGCTTTCTGGAACACTTGTCATTTCTCAGATACAAGTTACTGTTTCTTCTTTACTAGAAACGAACATGAAGGAATCCCAGCAAACCTGATTCACCATCTGGATGTCTGTGTGGAAATTCCTCAACAGGGTATTATTCGATCACTCAATGTTCACGTAAGCGGAGCTCTGCTGATCTGGGAGTACACAAGGCAACAAGTGATCAAGCAAAAACAACAAAAATAACTGCCAAGAGTCTCGTGCCTTATAGTACAGCTAGGTGGCTTCCTATGGTGCTACGACATCAAATTCTGAATAGATGAGATACAAACTCAGGGTGAATGAGGATTCTTAACTTTTGCATGTTTTGTTTTCTGTAGTGTTCAGGGTGACTTTTAAATGCCTTAATACTTTACCTCCTTAAATTGTTGCATTGGAAATAAATACTATTTATATTGCATGTGGCGTGTGTGTTTTCTCTACTGTTAGAACATCAGTGCAGTACTGTGAACAATCCCACACTCAAAACCACAGGATTTTTACTGCAGTTACTTCAGTTATGGTGACTATGCTTTCAATTGAAGTGGAGCCTTTAGCCAAAGTATTAATGTTTCCAGCATCTAGATCTACTAGATTATATAATTTTTGGAAAGTAACTTCACTTACATAATTACATTAAATGGTGCCCCTTGTTTAAATGCCTTCCACAGTCAAGTTTATTAATCCTGCTCTAAACTCTCTGTATCTTTAAATGGAACTGCATCAGTAAGGTAATCAAATTATACAAAAGACCATGAGAATCATGATAAATAAACTGAAATACTTCTAGCAGAGATACTGATTGAAAACTTATCACTAATGTAAAAATTCCTATTGCTTATAAAAAATAAGCATACTCAAAATAGGTAGATTACATATCATATGCACAGGATGCATTAGGTCTTCTGATGACCACTGTTATATAAACCAATGTCTGACTTAAACTGTATTTTAAAATACTTTGAAATACTTGGTAAATGACAAATACAAATTGCATTATACCACCACCTCCTTTTGACAAGACGTGAAAGTTGGACTTTTTTTTTTTTTAAGGAAAACTTGGCTCACTTACTGAAAAAGAATTTTATTTTCTCCTTAGAATATATACATTGCAGTATTAAACAATTATTTGTGTGAAAGAATTTTAATAATTATACATTCAGACCCTTAGATTTGTGAACAGCCCTGCACCATAAGCTGTACACAACCACCTTTCAGCAGACGTGACACCTGGCAACAAGAACAGCAGTCTGCATTTCAGGGAGACAGTCTTGCACTCAGGCAGCTCCTGTTGCTTTCTCTTGCTTCTTCTTTCTATAGTTACTTGATTTATTATGAAAGCAGAGTAACTAAGACTTTCCAGCAGCTTCTGGAGGAATATACCCTTCTGTTTCAAGCTTTTTTTTATATTTTAAGAAGTCTCTTCTTTTGTCAAAATGTTTAACCTGTTTAAAAAGAGAAAAGATGTTCATCAGAAGAAACTAGCAGAGGAAGGGGTTTTATGTATCACAAGATGACTATCGAATTATCAGTGAACTTGAGGATTTTACTACACTAATTAGGAGTTTCTTCCTCTGTTGAAATAAAAGACTAAAGAATGGCATGTTTGGTTTTTGGTTTGTGGGGGCTTTTGGACCCTTTTGGAAGTGAACTTCATTTTCCTGAAGTTCACGATCCTGTTACTTCATGATCTAGTAAAAGCAGCCTCTTGCTTTGCTCTTTTCACTGCTATCCACAAAGATTATTTGTGATGCAAAGGTAAGTCCAGCAGCTTCTCTGTGGCATCGCAGACCACGTAACCTCTGAATTCATTGCCTACAGCCACTGATGTGCATGGTGGAAAGCACTGCTGATGAGACTGCCATCACCAGAGATGAAGTACAGCAGAAGTGCAGTGTTTGAAGTACAAGTCAGTGCAGCAACTGTGAAGGTACTTGGTTTTAACTGACTTCAGTCTACTAGCTGCAACGGGAACTGTTCAGCCCCTCAGATGCTACTGTTATGAAAAGACAAGTCCTATTAAAAAAGGGTTATAACTTGAGCTAAAGAAACTAAAAAGCACAACATGAGTGAGTTACATGTAGGCAGGTGGCTTACTGTGACGTTACGCTGCATGAAAAAGGATATTTTTATGCACAAGAAGGTATCAGATACCAGTCTCAAGATGCCACACAACTGTAGGCCCTGCGTGTCAGCTCCCTTCCATACTGGTCTCCTTTAGTAATAGTAATTTACGGGCACTTCTACAAGCTTTCAAGTATCTTTCAAAATGTTTTTTTCTTAATTAAATAATGAAGTTTGTATAGCTGTGTATTTATCTGAAAATCTGAGATCTTATTTTCCTTTCCCTTAGTACTATATACTGCTTCTCACAGTTCCCGGGCCAGTCAGTGGTCCATTCAGGAGCTTTCATTTCCCAACAAGGCAAACCAATTTACGCCCGGCAAGGGTGCAGGCTTATCCAGGGGAAAGCGTAAGGCTGCCCACGCTCTGCACTCCTCGAAGCTGGAGCTGCCATCCTTAACAAGGTAGCTGTGACTCCGTGTCGCTGCTGTTACAGAGTGGCAAGGACACGCTCTGTTCGTCCAGCCTTAGGCAGCTTCAGGCGGTGCTCACCCACTGCTGCGGGCAGCGCGACTCGAAGGCCCGGCGCAGCTTCTCGCACTTGGCGGCGTCATCCCCGTGGCTGTCCAGGCACTGCCAGAACTCGTCCCGGGCCCCCCAGCACGCCGTCCTCTCTTCCTTCGTCGGCGCCGCCATCCTCGCTGCCCACCTGGACACGACACACGGCGGGTGTCCCAGCACGCCTCGCCCCCGGCGCCTCCCCGCGCCTCGCCGCTCCCATGGCGGGGCGCCGGCGCTGCCCCGCCCGCGGCCCCAAGGCAGCGGGGGAAGCGGTGCCGCCGCCGGAGGGAAAGCCCCGCGCCCGCCCCACACTCACTCACCCACCCGCGGAAGGTCACGCTCCGGAAGCGGTCCCGGCCCTTCCCCCCGGCGCGATGGGAGGGCGGGCCCCGTGTCCCGGTGTCCCGCCTTGCCGGGCGGGGCTGCCGCTGCGGCCGCGATGGGATGGGGCGGTGGGAGTTTGTGTCACCCTCCGCTCTGCCGTGGCCCTCCCGTCCCAGGCCCGACAGGGCTGCCGCGTCCCCTCAATCTCAAACGATATTTGGAAGTATCACTTTTCTGTGCTTAATTTCTTTCCGGTATTATCCTCTGTTCTCTAGCACACAATAAACAATTATTTTCCTTCTAATGAATTCTGTGCAGTGCCTTAGTGGATAATTTGTTCAAAGAAATGAAGTGTCTCTGCTTTCTTTTTGAGACATAGGAAAGCCAGTTGGATAATATCGTTGCGTAAAATGTTTGGGGCCAGGACCGGTTTACATTTGGTGTTTATAAAGCCCTAGGAGTTGGAACTCAAGTAAACAGTAGTGACACGCAGTCTGAACTGCTTCAGGTTTGCTAATTCAATGAATTAGGAAAAAAAAAATCTGAGAGCACTTACGGCACTGTAAATTTCTTGCAGTTTAAATACCAAAACAGTAAGGTAGTGACTGGATGGAAGGCTGATAATGATAGCGAGTACACATCACACATTTTTGGCAGTTTACCTTACAGGATGATTCTCTCCTGAGAGTTGGTCCATTGATTTCGTTCAGTACGCTTCTTACACAAATTACTCTGGAAAGGTTTCTCAGAATGGACTCAGTTGCTGAGTCAAGATGATAATAAAAACTAGTTTACCCCAGTGGAAGAAAAATGTACCTGTAGTCAGGGATGGTAAAACAACAGCAGAAGCCTGGGGATGGTCAGGTGGGCACCCAGTGGCCTCAGCCCAGGAGCAGCCTCAGGTCCAAACCTACAGTGCTGGTATAGAGCATCAGGGAGCAAACTCTGTTTCGTTATTTCATCTGGGATTTGGTGGCATTTCCTTGTGGCAGCCTGTAAGCCAAAGAATTGGTAGTTTCCTTTTATACATCAGCCTCCTGGATATGTGGAGCAGTTTTGAAAGCCATGGTGCATGTTCCCATAGTAATGCTGTGCAGTTTTGGGAAGGGTGATATTTTGGCAGCTGGCTCTGGGAGTTGCTGAACCCGCGGCAGCTCTCAGACCGCCTGTCAGCTTTACAGGGAGTTTTTCCTGACAGGTCCACGACCATCTGGCAGCTTTACTAGTAGTTCGCTGATATCCGATGCTCTGTCTGGTGTTTGAGGCAGCCCATTCGAGGAATGGGTGTAGCTGTTGACCTTCCTTGAGCTGCATTTCTTCCTCAGCATGTGGTCACGGTAGTGGCTGCTGGTGGAGGGCATCCTTTCCTGGTTCTCCTTGCAGATGGCTCACTCCTCTTGATATATGAAAGCTATTTTAAGAGCAGTCCAGGGATTTGAACTTCTTCAGCAGATCTCCCTTGTAAACCAGACAGATCTGGAGGGAATTTTGCTCCTAACCTGGTTCTCTTTTTTTTGAGAAATGTTAATCTGACTGCTGCTGTAAGTTGTATGGTATATAACACTGTCCATGCTCTCTTCCCTGGCCATTTGCTTAACCATGTTCTGTTTGCTACACTATGGTAGGTAAGAGATGCAAGAAATACAGTCATTTAATTTCTAATAGAACAAGGGGTTTAAGGTGATTGGAAGTTACTGCAAAAATGGAATTTCTGTTACGTTTTTATGTTGAAAAGAATTAATATTGAAGTAAATTTATATTACAGGACCCTTTTCCATTCAGGATTTTGTGAAGTAAGCTTTTACAGACATGAATATTGAAAAGAAAATTAATATTAGGTCTCAAGACTGAATCATGTGATAATGGAATATAATAATAGGAAATGTCAGTTGTGGTTTAGATTTCAAAATTTATGGTGCGTGTAAAGTTGTTTAGTTACTGCATTCACAAAACAGAAGGGATAATATAATTATATATAATTAATCACAAAGCCCAAATAGCACATCTGGGATATTTGTGATAAATAGTTTATTCTTTAATGACCTGTGGCCTGAGAAGTACTCACTGGAGACAATTGTAAGTAACTCTGTGTAATGGATATTGTGGGAATTTAGTGATCTGGTTTTAGAAAGTGTATGAATAGAAAAATACACAGATTTGTCTAATACATTTTTAATGGCATTATTTCCATTTGGTTAAACTGCCATCATAAGGAGGTGGGGTTTTTTTGGTTGTTAATTAGCCAATTCTAACTATTTATCTTTAGTCTTTTACTTTGGTAAATGAGCCCAGGAAGTAATGAATGGGATATTTATCATAACTAGGCAGAGGCTAATGTTCTAGAAAGAAGAGAGGCTGAAAAAATTCCAGATTTGTTAGGTGTGCTAGTTGCCACAGTTGAAGCTTTTGAATTATATTTCCATTTAGCAGTTAGTGAGATAGATGTTAAAGAAATAGATGCCTGTTTCCCACTGAAGCTCTTGCCAGAAATGCATTTAAAGTGAATCATGTGGAATTTATACAGTGGTTCAGCTTGTAGATTCTTTTGTGCCTGTCTTTGCTAATTGTGAAATGACGCTGTGTGTGCTTTGCCTTCCAGTAATGTCTAACAGATCACTCCTCACCTACAGCCTTACTTCCTTACTTACCCCATATTTAATTGAAATTTACCCAGCAGATTCTTGATTGGCAACCATGACGATTTCTCCTTTCACTTTGGAAGCAATTAGCACAGGTTTCCCTACCAATCTTTGATGTACTGTAGCTATGTTCAGCTTTGTGCTTATACCAGGAGCTCAGCTGATTTGTTTTTCTTTTATTGAAATAGTCTAATAGTCCATAATAGATGTTCAGGGAACTGAATTTAAAAATGAGTTCTTTAAGCAATATAGCCTTGTGTAGAACTATTTATTTTGCTGCAAATAATAACAAAGACTTACCTAAGGTAGTGTGGGACATTTTCTTCTGTTACGGAACACCAAGGGTTTCTTTTAAACAAAATTTTTAAAATATGTAGTTCAGGAGAACCATATGTTAAGATTCTTTCCCTCTTCCCCTCTTTCTCCTTCCTCCTTTCCTTCTCAAATGTCCATTAAGGATATAACTCTAACTCCTTTGGCATTACAGTGTTCCTTGCTATGCTTGGTGAAAAAAAATAATTTTAAAAAAGCAAAATCATCACAGTGATTAATTGTACCTAGTTTTATTATTAAAAAGGGAGTAAATTAAGCAAAGAAACCCCACGAAGTGCCCACAATAATCACCTCTAGATTGGAAACATTTAAGAAATATATACTATACTTTGTATGGCCTTATGCAAAGCACTCCTCTTCATTATTTCATAAAGACTTCACTCTGAGTTTTACTTTTGTGAATTTCTTTTTAACAATAACATGCTGAAACTTCAGATGAGTTAGCAAATATTTAGGTGTATGTATGAATAAAGAAGAAGTGTACAATTAGAAAGAAAATGGTAGCTTTTGTTTGGTGGTCTTAGCAAATAAATTTTCTAAATCCTCAAGAAAATGTGAATACTCATGTGATTTTTTTTTTTAACTAAATGTGTGCTGGGGCTTTTACCTTGATTTCTTCAAAATGCTTACTTTGCTGGGTGTTGTGACGAGTATCCCCACACTAGGGAGTGCCAGTGTGACATGAACATAGAGGATGAAGTACTTGCCTTGGGATACTGGGGGAGGGACAGAGGAAGAGACTACTCCAGCTTTCTGTGGTAGCTTTGTGTGTGTCAGTGGCTGCATGTGTGCAATCATCAGGTAGTGCAGGAGAGGATTTGACTAGGAGGTAAGCCATCTGTGCAGGCTGGTATGGAGACAGAGGAGAAAGAATAGACAGAATGGTGATTTTCACCTTCTCCAGACTGCTTAGTGATTTGAAGCCTGCTGAGCAAAGGCTTGCTTGTTTTTTTTGACTTCTCATGGACATCAGTGGAGTACTGTGTGGAGTGCAGTCTGAAAATCACTAGACTACCTAGAGGAGTTGTGATCATGATGACGAAAAAGCTCAACAACTGGAGTTTTAGGATTCTTTTAAGGTGAAGTAATTTACATTAATAATAGGCACTTGTTTTTCATGACAGAGTTCCATTTTTGCTCAATTGCTAGGAAGGAAGAAAACAGAAAATGGAGCATTTTGGGAAAACAGGTGATGGTGGGAATACTGACCTCACTGGAGTCCAGGTTTTAATCTTGGTTATAGAATTCTTAAAAAAATCCTGTAAGGATCTTTTAAGTGTCTGGGTCAGTTGGGGTATGTGCAGAACTTGGAGTTTGTTGTAAATATTCTGTGGAAGTTAGCCAAGGCAGCTCTCCCTAAGCAAAGGCAAAGTCTCAGTCTTTCAGTATTCTTGTCCTTTCATGTTAAAAGTAGTCTGAAGGATGGATGGCTTACTGCAGGCTTGTCTTGGCCCTTTTTTTTTTGAGATAATAGGAAGCAGTGCACTTAGATTTTCTAATGATGCTTTTTACCAAATAAATGAAGCTACTGTGGATGGCAAGAGGTTTTCTTGTGGATTAATAACTGGTTAGTGAGGCAGGAAACAGCAGGAATAAATTATTGCTGTTCAAAAGGAGAGAGATTACCAAAGGAGCTGTGCAATCTAAAGACTGGTCAAAACCACCCATTTACTGATCATACTTTTTTACTGTTTCAAGAGAGTGAAGAGTTACCACTGAGAAAGGATCTGTCACTGTCATGTAGCCAAGAAGCAAAATAGCTGGTGGCATTCAGCATTAACAGATATGAGGTAAAGGACATGGTAAAAAAGTCTAAGATACATGGTGAGGGGCTCTAAGTTTACTGTTGTCACTCATCAGAAAAATTCTCAATTTATGGTAGATATATGCTCTGTTAAAGCACATCTACTTTAGTTCTCTTCATTTGAGTGAAAGATGCTCTGCAGGTTGGTTGCTGTTGTTCCTAATCAATGCACTGATGGCTACGCTGAGATGTTATGTGGACTGAATCTAGAACTGGAGGGAAACCTGGGAATGAGGATCTGGAAAACTCATTTGAGTTCTCTTCTGAAAGATCATCTAGTTCAGCAGTAGGATTAAAGAAATATCTCTAGATCATTGCAG